ATATCAATATCACTATTTGATTACTAATATTTCAAATTAAACAGTAAGTATTTGAGAAAGCAACAACTAACTCTAGCCATTTCATCTTTGCTCAATGCCTTTTTGACATCACATCTCGAATTACCGATGTTATGGCTTTTCACTAAAACGCATTTATCAACCGAATCGTAATCGTCGAATGTGACAAATGCAAATCCTCTCGGTTTGCCCGTAGTCTTGTCTGCGATTATATCAATCTGAAAATGTTATATTGACGTTATGGAACCTGAAGCCAAATATATTCATCTTGCGCAAAATTATTTGAAATGGAAAAAGCATTTAAAGATAAAATTGAAACGTGACCTTAACGACTGTGCCGTATTTCGAGAAGTATTCATTGAAAACTTCTTGGGTGTGTTCCTCGCGAACCCCAGACACATACAAACGTTTTGATGACATATTCGCTTCACTCTTTTGCGATAGCTCACGGGGCACCGCACGTTTCGGATCAACTGTTTTACCGTCTATAACGTGTGGTCGACTTGCCATCGCTGCATCTACCTAGAATCAATTGAATCCGTAAAATACTAGAGCTAGGAAGATCTTCGGCAAATATCATCTAAACAAGACTACCTAGACGGAACATGAGAAACAAAAAATGATCACACACAAACACTCTGACATAAAGTTTTTCTTCAAATGTTGTTTCTCTCTGGATTAATATTCATGATCATGATGACTTATTTAACGTCGTTATATATTCATATGTGAAACTGGTTAATCACAATCGTTAATTTAATACTAAAATTATTCGGATCAACTGATGAAATAGGGAAAAGAAGACGAGACAAATGAGTAATTTCATTGATGAGCATACCTCAGATTGTTTCGAATACGTAACAAAGCCAAATCCACGTGATCGCTTCGTGGTTGGATCACGCATAACAATGCAATCGAGAAGTTCACCCCATTGTGAGTAGAATTCTTTCAGTGCTTCATCTGAGGTGGATATCGTTAGGCCACCAATGAACATCTTACGGAAATGTTCTGGTTCAGTTCCAACTGACACATCCTTCAAATTCAACTCATCAATATGATTTCAAATAAAGTCAATACGACGCAGGCAAATTCTATGATAAATTTTACATTACTGAAGCAAAAAACCACGAAAACAATAATAGTGAAGAGGAGAATTATTAAACGATAACATTGTTCGTCGTCAAATTAACGAATTCAAAAGACATTTCATAATTTTAATCGGTGTTGTTATCAAAACGTTATATTTTCAATATTGGTATTGTTCAGGAAACGAATTGAATGTTTCATTCGAAGTATTATCAATGAACTTACTCCATTTTCATCTGCTCTCACCATTGTTGTTGACGACCGACGATTGGAGCGGCGTGTAAAATGGAATTACAAACTGTTTACTCAGTTTTTCAATGTTTGGATTAACCTGAGATCTGTTAACGAAGTTGAACGAATCTGAAATTACTCGTAAATTTTCACTCGCAAACTACTCAAAACTGCACCAATTACAACGCATAACGATATCAAATGGTGCAATCCTATCATAAGCCAATACGACGAAAGAATGATGTTTTCGACTCAATTAAAGAGTTTCTAGAAAATACAGAAAATTAGATACAACAAGGCAAAGCATAGCCTGTGGCTCTGGATCGCAAAAGGTACATTATTTAGTTTATTAGAATTACCAGAATGCCATGACGCCAAAAAATAATAACACGGAAGTAGATTAATCTCAAAATAAAAAGGAAAAAAAGACGGACGCACTGCGCATGACCCGAGGGAAAGTGGGAAAATTGCGCGGTTACATATCATCAGAGATTGCTTGGCCACAAGGTGCCAAATGGTATGTTAACAACGTTTTACTGGGAGGTCAACTGAATACGATGAAATGGCAAGGTAACGAAATGAATAGAGTAGTGGCTGTTCGGAGAAATATGAATGAGAGTGAATCAGTGATACGTTTGAAGTGAATGAGATTGATGTGATGATATAATGCGGAATCATCATGCACTAACTGATAACAGGTACAAGAGTGTTGATAGACCATGGTGATTAGATATAAGAATCGAAAAAATATCATGAAACTAGAGGTGAGCAAAGAGGAACGCGTGATAGAGCCACGCCTTCCAAAAGGCTCATGCATTCTGAATCCACTGCAATCTAGTCGTCCGAACTCTCTTCAATCATAACTGTGTCTGTTCAATTCTCATGTCTCCTACCCATGATGTCTTATCACTCTCGAGTCTTGTTTAGCTGATTGCGTGACAATCGCATGATGCGACCGCAATTTTCTCAATCAATTCAACCGTATCACCAAGTCACTCTCATTCCTAATTCTTCAAAGTAATCGAACTCTCTCGATTCCTTTACTTGCCCGAATCGGATGCAATCGTGTGTCCAATGGAAATGGCGTATGTACAACGATGTGCCACAGCATGTCATTCTCATCTCTCAATTAACGTTAAGATCTGTATGCACTCACAGTTTAAATTCATTGAAGAAATGCTAATTGTAAGTAATATATCTCAGTTTCTTGTTACATTAACAGAATTCTGAAAGCATCGATTGGAATTGCAAATGGAATAATTCATTGTTTCAAAAGATGGATGCGCCCATTCCCCAAACCCTGACAAAGTGGATGGGATTTCAATAGTGGATGATGGAGCTCATAGATTTTAGAAAAATAAGCATATTTTCTTAAAGCTGCAGTTCATTTCTTGAATTCAGTAAACGATTGTTCAGTTTCTGATGAATGATAAATGTGTTTTGTCTAAATTTGAAAGTAACGAAGTTACTGTCATCTTAATGAGACCTAAATGTGGTCGATTCCGTGATTGTGTCTAGTGAAATAACCAGTTTAACCAGTTAACCGCTACTACTAATCTGGATGAAGTTGCCGTTTCGAACACGATTCTTGACAGCGTGTTCAGTTGTTGCTTTCGAG